TAAGCTTTTGATGGTCTGTGTCTCATCCACCAGTTATTCTTTTTGCATTAATGGTGCTTTGAGTGGCATAATCTACCCTTCAAGAGGAATTAGACAGGGGGATCCCTTATCCTCCTATCTATTCATCATTGTCACAGAACTGTTGTCTGCCCTTATATCTGATTCTATAAACAGTGGTAAGCTGCATGGTTTAAAGCTCTCCAGAAATGGGCCTGCTCTCTCCCATTTCTTCTTTGCAGATGATGCCTTATTTTTTTGCAAAGCAGACAGTGGTCAGGCTCATGAATTAATGGCACTGTTGGAAAAATACAGAAGGTCCACTGGGCAAAGAGTGAACCTACTGAAGTCCTCAGTTTTCTTCAGTAAAAACGCCCCCTCTCCACTTCAAGCTCATATTTGTACTGTGATGCAAGGAATTCAGATCCATTCCTCCACAAGATATTTAGGCCTTCCTCTGGGGATAGGTAAGCCCAAAGCTGAGGTCTTCTATTATGTAGTTGATTCTGTCAAATCCAAGCTGTGGAGTTGGAAGAATAAAATGGTTCCAATTGCAGGCAAGGAAACTTTGATCAAAGCAGTGCTCAATGCCCTTCCTGTATTCACTATGTCATGCTTCAAACTTCATGTGTCAATATGCAAAGCTATCTCAAGTCTTACTGCTCAATTCTGGTGATGCAAAGGAGATTCAAAGGAAAAAGCTATGCACTGGAGGGCTTGGCATTTCCTTTCATTACCTAAAGAAGAAGGGGTTATTGGATTCAAAGATGTGAACTTATTCAACCAAGCACTAATATGCAAACAACTTTGGAGACTAGTGACCCAACATGACTTATTGGTAAGCAGGGTGCTCAAAGACAGATACTTCCCTACCAGCTCCATTTTTGCAACATCAAAAACTCAGAATGGTTCTTGGATTTGGAACACATGGCTAGACTGCTTACCTGTTTTCATCCAAGGAATCAGAACAGAGATCAGAAATTGAGCAACTACTAGAATTTAAGATCTTAATTGGATACCAGTCTCTCCCTGCCACAAACCAAAGCTTCTGGATATTGCACAGGGACACATTACCTGGGTGAAGGAAATGATTCAGGAGAATGGAAGGGAATGGAACACTTGGCTTGTGAGACAATTGTTCAATGCTGCTGACAGTCAAGCAATTCTAAACATTAACACCCTGCATCCCACTAAAACAGACATGCATTTCTGGTGTTTGGACAAGCAAGGAAAATTCACAGTGGCTTCAACTTATCTCCATCTGATCAAGAAGAAAATCCTTCTGTTGGATATACCTGGTACAAGTCAGAATTCAAAGGCAATGAAGAATGCCGGACTTAGAGGCTAGAATCTTAAAATCAAGGGCACCATCAAACACTTCTTATGGAAGTGCATTTCAGGTACCCTCCCTGTAAACACCAACTTAATCAGAAAAGGTATTGAGGTGGATGTTGTGTGCCTCTGCTGTGGTGAAGAACATGAAACTGTAGAGCACTTACTTTTCTATTGCACAAGAGCTAAACAAGTAAGGAGATTGGGACCTGTCCAATGAGATAGAAGGGATATGGACACCTGCCCTTTCAGAATCTGGTGGAGGCAGATTTTCTCTACCAACAAAGACCAAGTGGCTGAGGACATAATTCAATAAACCTACATCCTCTACTGGTTATGGAAGAGCAGGAACTTATGGGTGTTTGAGAAGACTATGATGCCAGAGAAGTGCTCATCAGAAGGGCACTCAAAGACTGAACAGATTTTAAGTCTGTCAAATGTTAGCTGTTAGTTGGTGGTGTCTGTTATTCTGTTTCTTTCTGTTTTTTTCTGTTTCTTCCTTGGTTCTAGTTAGGGAAGTTGGTCTGTTGACTAGGCCTTTGCGCAGTGGTTTGCATACCATCTTCTTTGTTTTCCTTTGTTGAGTTGATTCTAGGCCGCATCTTGCGTGTCCTCTCACTTTTCTGTTTAGCTTAGTTAGCCTTTTTCATTTGGTCGTTGGCCATGTCGTGTATTTGAACGTTGTTCTCAGTTCTGTGTTTTTATATATAATGCCTCTATCGTTTCGGAAAAAAAATTTTTGACAAGGCATCATAAAATATGTTATATTGTAACACAAATTAAGAGTGTCAACTATGGGGTCCTTTTATTGACAAAAATAATATTTGTTACTGTTAATTACTAAAATGGGACAAAATATCACTCATCGTAGAAAGATTTGCCATAAATAATTTAGTTTAGTGAAGAGAATAATTAATATCATAAAAATAGTAATTTTCATTGAAGAGAATAAAATTCATTAATATTTTTTAGAAACTTGATATAAATTGTTGTTGACGCACAAAAGTTATTTATTAAAAAAAATGTAAAACGAGTGCGCAAATTGAAGAGAATAAAATTCAGTGGTTGCTTTTCTTTCTGTTACTTCGACATCTTTGTTACCTTTTTCCACATGCAAAAATTTAAAACGAGTGCGTAATAGCTCACTGATCGAGCACCCTAATGCCGAAGATGAATGGGGCTAAGCGATCAGCCGAAGTTGTGGCCTTTTCAAGTTTTAGTTTGTTCATTTGGAATATGGGTTCTTCTACTTCATTTTTATATAATTTCACTTAAGATTGGGTCTCTCTACCAGACAGCTATCTCTCGAGCACAAGTTTAGGTTCGGCCTCAATGGGAAAAGAAAATGGAGAGAAGTTTGCTTTATATTATTTAGACTAATTTCCTAAATGTTAGTTAATAGAAATTAACTAATGCTTTTATTATTTGTGCAAGAGTAAATAGAATGCCTTTCAGAGGCACCTTCCTTGTGGAGAAGATTCAGCCGCATGAATCAGACATTCCTAAATTGGAGGTGGCAGAATCAATCAAGAACATTCCTTATGGAGCGTGGCTTGGCAGCGAAGACATATTTCACTTACCATATGTGAATTGGGATATAAGTGTTGGGACGCGTATGAAGAAATTAACTTGGACGATTATCTTTTGGTTTTTACTTTAGAGAGTGTTCTTCAATTTGAATCTATTCGGCGAGTTTGATTTTATTTTTATTGGGTTGTGAATCAAGAGGGTGTTCTTGATCACGGTGAGTAAATTGTTTTTAATCTTGACTGAGTGGTCGGAGGTTCACTCAGATTAGTTTGAGGGATTCAAGCTAGAAAATCCACAATGGATGTGGTCGGAAAAGTAATAGTGTAGGTGATTATTTCAAAGGTAGAGGAGAGGGAATCGACATTGTAAACCCTTTGGATAATAGATGTAACATCTATGCTAATGAAAGAGTTCCGGAGGGAGAGCAGGATGCTCTCCTGAAGGTTCATGTTTTGTAGAATCTTTGCTTCCGCAATTATTTGAAAGTTCATTCAAATTTACTGGTTTTCATACTTAGCGCAATTCTGGTATATTACGTACATCCCCCAAAACTTCACGTTGGTATATTTGCGATAACATCTGGCATGATTGTTAATTATGCGTTTCATTTAGATATGCGATTACAATGTCGCATATCATTTCGTGACTTATCGGGTGAAAAATAAGTTTTTTTTGTTAGGACATTGTGTAAATGAAAGAGTATTTATATAAGAGTGATGCTATTTAGCCCACTTGGATGACAACTTGGGTTACAACCCAAATGTAAATGCATTATCAAAAAAATTAAAAATAATGCATTTACACTTGAGTTGTAACCCAAGTTGTTATTCAAGTTAACTCTATAGCATTACTTTTTATATAATAAGGTGTAAAATATGCACGCCCAATTTTTCAACTCAGCACATTCTTAGTGGACAATAGATGACAAACAAGATACCGAAAAACTGACAATTAATTACTCATTAAAAATTCGCGAGATCCCTGATTCCCCCTCATCCAAACCCTCGCTCGAGCAAAATCTTAATTCGTACGTCGCCGCCTCCTCTCCGCATTGCTATCCATGCGGCCTGGTGTCGTCCGCCGCTGGTTGGGTCGTTCGTCCCTCTTGGAACCTCGGATCTCCACCGGATGATGGCCTTTGCTGACATTTCTAGGCGCCTTTGTCGCGGGCTTGGGGTATCCGAAATTCTGACAGGTGGCGTCCGCCGAGTTCCTATCAGTCTTCTCGGAGCTGGTCGGGGCAAATGTCTGTCTCTCCTTCCCTTCCTTTCGTCCTCTCCTCGGGTTTGGTGGCCCGGGCTGGATGGTTGGTTGTTGTGGGCCAACGGTTGTTAAGGGGTGAGTTGGCGGTTTGTGGGCTTCGAGTGGCTGGGTTGCCGGTTGGTAGTTTGTGGGTTTCAGGGGGCTGGGGTGGTCAGGCTTAGAGGGATGGCAGTAGGAGGCGGGTCGGGGGTCGACCTCCGGTTTCAGCTCTAGGGGTTGTCTGTCTCTGAGAAGATTTTGTTTGTCTAGCGCGATTCCAGCTAGCCGTAGCTACACTATAGTTTGTGGAGAGTGTTCGAGCTGGAGTCTATCTGAGTGGGCGACTATCTCTAGGTGTCAGGCTGGGGCGCGCTGCAATTTGTCTCTTCTATGGAGAGGAGGGTGTTATTGTATATAATTGTATGTAGTGTTGTGTTTTGTTGTAGTTGAGTTGTAGTTTTTGCGTCAGTTGTGCTTGTTTTCCTTATTTTGTTGTTAGTTCTCCTCTTGTAGGAGCTAGATTTCCTTTTTGAGAGCTTTGGTTTGTTTGTTCTTGTGGGTGCGTTAGTAGTCTCTCTAGGCTCCCGTCGTTGGGTAGTCTCTAGTTATATTCTGCTTGACTTATTCTAGTTTGTCTAGTTGTATTTGTGTTTTTATTTCTATTTATAAAACCTATCGTATCGAAAAAAAAATGCACACATTCATAGAGAACTTATTTTGGTGTAAGTTTCACATAATATATACATAATATTCAGAGAAAAAAGCTGATTTTTTTTACTTAGTAAATTCTAAGTTAATTACCGGGTGTAATTTTATAATTATCTATTGTCATTTGCCTATTGTTGTTGTCAAGAATGAAAAGTCAACGAAAAAAACTTCAAAATATTGAGCCATAACATGTTAATTTCATGTTGTTAAAATGCTATTAAAAAACACTCAGTAAAATAGACATGACATACAACACTATAGTTTTTGTGTGTTCATCTTAATTTATTCAACTAACGGGTTCTCAACTTTAGCCACATTCAATGGTGGGTAAACAACAACTTTGGTTTGTCATCACTGGGCGGGCCATCCTCCGGCGGGCCCACATCAGGGACATCCACATTGGGCGGGCCGACATCGGGTGGGCCCACAATCGGTGGAGGAGGCCGACGGCCCGTAACAACTGGCCCACATCTTCTCCAACAATAGCATCTTCCTCCTTTGCATTTGCCCGAGTTGAACCTCTCGCGTTTGCAGATTAGGCTGCAGTTGACTATTTGGGTCTTGAAATAGCAAAGCCCTTGGTATTTCCTGCTCTTTGCCCAGCAAATTCTTCCTTCACTATTCACTACCATAATTTCACCTGCATAATATATGGTTGCAAAGTATTTAATTCAATCAGTGTACCTAATGTTCAAAAAAATGATGAAAAAAATCGTTTTACGTTGTTTTAAGGCTTAAACTGGTTTCAGTAAAAATCTTTAATTATTATAACTTTGTAACATGCGGTTGATGAGACAAAAATGGAATAAATTAGACTTTAAAGAGTAAAATTATTGTGAATTATGAATTATGAATATAAGAGATATCTTGTTACCAACAACAACGAGAACCAGGAGTAGGGCATGTGCTATTCCACAAACTCTTTTCTCCATTTTGAGATTGATGTTCAAACAAGGTGACAATGGCTTCAATTTATAGGTCTAAAAAGATCAGATGTACACAAAATTTCGCCTTTTAATTAATTGAGGGTGAAATACATTTATTCATGGATATTGAGTGATGATGATGTTTCCACCAGAAGATTTCATTTCTTTCTAAGTTATTCTTATCCCAATTATTCTTAAGCTAATTTCACATTTATTCTCTTCTTTTCTTTTCATTGTTTTAATTTTTCAAGCCTGTTCTGTATCAGATTATTAAAGATGGGTTGCTGATGATGACACTTGCAGATATTTTCTGGGTAAGGTTGGTTATTAAATCGAAAATATCTATACCCATAATTTAATGGCAATTATTAGGGAAAACAGCAATTAAATTTGTATGTCCATAAGGGAGAGGCCGCTGAGCTTATAAACTCATTCCAAATGCATTATAGAAATTATTTTTTTAAGAACTCATAAATTTTATAAAAGCATATGAGCTCCCAAAATAATATTCCAGCCCTCTTTCTTAATAACATTTTATAAGTTGTTTTGTATTTATTCTGTAATATTTTTTATAAGCCCAAAATAATATTTTATTCAAATTCTTCAATAACTTAAATTTTCAAATACTTGCTTAAAAATTGCATTTTAATCTTTATTAAAATGGCAGTCACCACCATTAAGAGTCAGTTGGGTTTATATTAAAACTTTTTTAATAGGCCTGATTGATAAACGTATATAATCTATAAATATTAATTTTATTATTTTCAAATTATAATTTGACAAATATTTTGATTTATATTTATAAATATAGATATAATGTTTTCTATATATAATCTTGTCTTATTTGATAATTATCATATAAAACTGATAATTAGTAAAAAGACATTAAATTTTAATATATACATATAATTTTAGTTGACAAAGTGTTTTAGAAATATTAAAAATAATAATAGGCGTGAACAAAAGTACAAACCACTACTCTAAAAAACACCTGAACTTGATAAATATAATATTTAAGAAATATCCAAAATCGAATATGAAAAATTATTAGTTTTAAAAATATATCGATTTTAAAAGTTTACAATATTTTGAATAGACTCAACAAGGTATCCATTATAACATAACATTAGTACATTACACATATTAGATTAGAGTTGAAATAAACTCTGGGAAGAACTTTTACAAACTTCTGATTGGAAAAAGAGTAGAGTTGAAACTTTTACAAACTTCTGATTGGAAAATTGAAAACGGTAATGCTATTT